TTCCTTATGACCGATTGGGTAGCAATAAAAAAGATACGTTAATGATAATAAGACTTAGCTTAGCCATTTGGGAATGCTTAACGTAATCGTTAAAAATATCCCTCCGCTGCGGATGAGGAACATAAAAAGCAATGGCCTGGCGGATGCAGAGGCATGGATGGAAGCAGCAGTTATTTTCCACATTGCACGCGTGTTATGATTTCGTAGATTTTTTTTTTATAATATTATTTTTTCCTTAAATAGGGAATTCCAAACAGCAGCGGAGTGTGGGAAAATGCTTAGGACGGCCAGGCAGAGATGAACACAGAGCTCTTAATAGCCAACAAAAGGCGTCAAAGGGAGGAAACAATCAGGTCGCTGTCAGGAAAAGAACTTGTGTCAGTTCATGAGAAGCTGAACCGCGGGCAGGAAAAGCGATGCACTGATGTGCGTCCTGTGAGCGTGTGTTAGTGATTGTGCTGGAAGTGAAGGTGCTGAAGGCTAGATCTTGAAGGTGAAGTGGCTGCCCGAGTGACTTGCGTTCCTCTAACAGGATCCATCTGTGGTGTGCTTATCAGAGGAAAGTAGGAGAGACCCCAGAATAAAGGTAGAGAGGAAGATACATAAATTAAAAGAAACCCCTTTTACCAGGCCAGCAGAGACAGGTGTTATTCAATTTAATTCAATTTATTTTATATAGCGCTTTTACAATGTAGCTTAACATAGAAATAAATAGTAACTGTGCCAGTCCAGTTTTTTAGAGTTGAAATGCAATTTATTTCAGTTCAGTGTGGTTTATTTTTCACTGCTGAAAGTCAAAACACTGAAAAGCACATCCATCAATGTGCAGCTCCACAAGTTCCAAACCAAGCAAGCCAGTGGCGACAGTGGAGAAGAACAAAACTTCACCAAGTGACGAAAGTGAAGGAAAAAGAGACTTCGAATAAAACCAGGCTCAGTTGGGCTTTTCTCTTCTAGCCAAACGTTCTGTGCAGAGCTGCAGGCATTTGAGGCTGGAGAACACTGGACGTCCATTGTGGAGAAACTGCAGATGTGAGAGGTCACCGCCGGCTGTTTAGGCTGGCCTCAGTTTAAGAACCATAAATGAGAAGGCTCAACCTCCTTTAGTAGACTTTGCTATTCTGGGTACTATCAGAAGTCCTGAGTTTTGAGATCTTAAAGAGTGGGTTGGATTGTAGCGAGACAGGAGGTTGGTTAGATAAACAGGAGCTAGATTATTTTTATTTAGAGGCATGCAGGGCAAATAAGCAGCATGCACTCGTGGCCATTAATACTGAAAGTTAGTACTTAATGTTTTCCACACTAAAATCATGTTAACACACATATTGTTTACATCTTGCAGCTACAGTGTTGAAAAAGTGAGCATTACGACATTCACAAATTGTCCACATTCACTTCCATCGTAAGTGTTGATTGATTATTCTTTTAACATAATCATGAAGGTCTGTGCTTTCAGCTTGGCAAAAGCCATTTCCTGTCCCTGTGTGTGCATGTATTTGTGTGTGTTTGCATGCCACAGGTCCAACTCATCAGGTCCTGCAATGATTTACCTTGATGATACTTTAAAGGAAGACATCTGGACACAGTTGGACTCTCTAATAATAACCACAAACACAGACTGCCAGGGAACTTGTGACGTCGTTATGAGCAGCTCTTCAACAGGAAAAACCATGCAGAGACTGCAATAGAATCAAAGAAAAGAGAAATGTGTGATTCAACGAAAAGCCATTGACAGCCATAATCCACATATAACTTTATGACAGCTATTCTCATCCACAAACTACCCTTAGAATAACTATTACTTGTCCTTCCGTTCCCGTCTTTCCATTTTTATTTTCATCAAGGCCATCCCATTAATAAACCACACCGGTTTCCTTGCATACATCCTGTGCAGATTTTCTAGTAAATTTAATGGGCAGTAACATTTACGGTAGTTTAGTGTAGTTGCTGAACAATTTAAAGGGATAGTTCTTCCCTCCTAAAAAAATGAATATTTACTCACCCTCAAGTGGTTACAAACATTTAAGAGTTTCTTATATCTGTTAAACACAAAGGAAGATATTTTAAAGAATGTTGAAAACAAGTAGCCATTGACTTCCAGGAACCTTTGAAATCACCAGTTTGGTGTGTTCATTAAGACACTTTCATAATCATGGCATTTGTCATGAATAAGAATGAGGTTTTATGCATGCTTATGACAAATGTTATCGAATACTACTGTCATTGCTCAAATACATCAATTTAAATGCAAAGATTTAATTGTTTGAGATGTCTTTGTTATAACAACTTGATATTAGGGTGACACAGTGGCACAGAGAGTAACGCTGTCACCCCACAGCAAGATGGTTGCTGGTTCAAGCCCCTGGCGGTTTATTCCACTGTGGTGACCCCTGATTAATAAAAGGAAGGACTGTTAAGCCAAAAAGAAAATGAATAAATTAAATTGATATTACAAAGACAACATAAATTGTCATAAACATGTCCTAATGTTATTAAAATTGTATCATGAATATTTTTCTGATTATTTAACAAAATTAATTTGTCATTAAAACTTATCTTTAAAAGTGTCATTAATCTGTCAAACTGTTATAAGAGCATAATTAATATTTAATTACATTTTAATGACAAATTTAATTTGCATCACTGTCGTTGAGGTTAAAAAAATAATGACGCTGTAATAACATTTATAATGTGACACATGACAATCATGTTTATGACGGATGTATGACAAGTTATGTTGTCTAGGTAATTAGCTAAGCTAAGTTTTCATGACAAAGAAAAAAACAATTTATGATGTATTTGAGCTCCAGTGGGTAGTGCTGCTGCCTCACAGAAAGAAGGTAGCTGGTTCGAGCCCTGCCTGGGCTTTTTTGTGTGGAGTTTGTATGTTCTCCCCGTGTTCGTGTGGGTTTCCTCCGGGTGCTCCGGTTTTATGAAGGTAATTCAGTAGCAATACTCGAGAGCTTGCAAATGTAAATGTGAGCACTTGTGATAATAATATTTGTATGTGTAGGTTGAAATGTACACTTACAGCTCTGATGTGAACAGCTGAAATCCTCGATTTGCACACACACACAACAATCAACACACTTGTGTTTTGAATCGGAAGTTGCAGATTAATAGTTGTGTATTTGTAAAATGTCATTCACAAATACAAAGTGACAGACACACGTGTGCACGGCAAATTTGACTGCATCTTTGCTCTACAACCACAGGTCGGCACTCACAACCTCTCAGATTCGTCAGTACAACTACAAATCTCCCGCGCTCTGACTTTTGCTACACATCTCCCGCGATCTCTGTAGCAGAACTCATCTGTGCACTCGCAGATGCAGAGGCGTGAGCAGCGCGGGGCGGGGGAGGGGCGGGGCTGGTGTAAAGCTGTTTCATTGGCTGAAGCCTGACCAATGAACAATGCCAGCAGCCAACAGGACTGAGGTGCAAAATAATCATTTGCCACGATTATTTTATTATTTAGGGTTTATTTCAACTATTTTCTGAAAAGATTTTTGTTAAATATCATTAATTCTACTGTAATGTACATACCAGTAAAAGAGCAGCAAAGCCAGTTTATTGGCTACAGCCAGCCAATGAGATGGGGCGTTTCTGTTTGTCAGCACACAGGGCAGCTCACGTTGTTGGAGGCCTCGAGCAATCAGAGGGTAAGTTATGATTTTTTAATAATTATCTATATGTTCAATACTGTTAGCTAAGCTAAGGACTGTGCTGGGTGCTTCTCTTGTGTGTTTTTTATATAAGAAACAGTTATGAGTTATCTAGGAGCTGCTTTCAATCATGTTATATGGTTCTAAAGATACGATTCAACCCACATGAAATAAGAAGTTGTAATAGTATTTATAGCAAATAATAGTACGTTTTTGAACCATACTAACTATAATAAACTGTATTATACTGTATATATTGCAGTATCTACAACTTTGTTAATGAATGCAACAGCACACTGTAGTATTAACTAGCATAAACTTTAATAAATTGAAGTATACTTATATGTATATATATATATATATATATATATATATATATATATATATATATATATATATATATATATATATATAGCTTAAATTTGAAAAAATTGAAATATAGCTATCTGTTTAAAACTAAACATTCTAATGCCATTTATTATGCAAATATCAAGTTGAAACAAATCTGTTAAGAACACGCATTTATATGTAAAACCTAATACATTTTAAAGCAGTTTCATTTCTTTCTAATTTATACATCTACATGCATTACATCTGATTTAGGTCCACAACTTGCATTCTTCAACATGATATGTGTGTTCAAAGGAAGAGCAACTAGGTGAGGGAGACAGTGTCCATCGCTCAGCTGAGGGTCCACTTTGAGCATCTCATCTGCAGGGTTAAGCAACATAAGCTGAACAGTCATCATCTCTCTCTATTACAGCGAGCATCAACCAGCTTTACACAACGGCCTGCTTTCTGACCATTAGTAAAGGCTTGAGCAAAGTATTAAAGAGGAGATAACATTTGATGGGTAATGATGAAGTTGGATTTACCACCTCCATCTCATTATGAACAAGGAAAAACCCTGAAATATTTCAATACAAGTAACTAGACATTTGCACTGCACTTATTTGGACTGTAAATTTTATTTGACAAATTACATTCCCTTACAGAACAGGTGTCAAACTCAGTTCCTGGAGGGCTGCAGCTTTGCAAAGTTTAGTTCTAACCCTAATTAAACACACCTGATCAAACTAATTGAGTCCTTCAGGTTTGTTTGAAACTTTCACTTAAGTGTGTTGAAGCAGGGTTGCAACTAAAAACGTGCAGGGTTACGGGCCTTCAGGAACTGAGTTTGACACCCCTGCCTTACAGTAAAGTGTAAAAATACTACATTAAACAATTATCAAAATAAAAGTTGTGTGTGTGGGTGAGTGTGTGTTTTGTTCAAATCTGTAGTCATCTTGGCAGGTAAAAAGAGAAAATAAATGGTTGGCTTCCTCTTGAACGATCTGAATCATTTTGAAGTGTTTGTAGATGAGCTGGATCCTCATGTCATCTTTAGCATGAATAAAATCCTATTCAAGCTATGCAGCTTCTCTGAGTTCCTCATCGACTTGAAACATGCTGATCTCTCCTGTCACTCCATCCTTACAGGAAACTGAGAAATAACCTATAGTTAGTAACGTTCATAATTAAAAAAGTGATATAAAGGACACACTGTACACAAACATGTAAAAAGATAGATGGATAGATAGACATGATGCAGGTTATAATAACCAAAACCGGTATGATCTGTAAGAAACTGAAACGCCTAGTGTTATTTTTAATTGCTATTAATGTGTGTGTGTGTGTGTGTGTGTGTGTGTGTGTGTGTGTGTGTGTGTGTGTGTGTGTGTAAATATACTTCAATTTATTAAAGTTCATGCTAGTTAATACTAAAGTGTGCTGTTGCATTCATTAACAAAGTTGTAGATACTGCAATATATACAGTATAATACAGTTTATTATAGTTAGTATGGTTCAAAAACGTAATATTATTTACTATAAATACTATTACAACTTCTTATTTCATGTGGGTTGAATCGTATCTTTAGAACCATATAACATGATTGAAAGCAGCTCCTAGATAACTCATAACTGTTTTCTTATATAAGAAACAAACAAGAGAAGCACCCAGCACAGTCCTTAGCTTAGCTAACAGTATTGAACATATAGATAATTATTAAAAAATCATAACTTACCCTCTGATTGCTCGAGGCCTCCAACAACGTGAGCTGCCCTGTGTGCTGACAAACAGAAACGCCCCATCTCATTGGCTGGCTGTAGCCAATAAACTGGCTTTGCTGCTCTTTTACTGGTATGTACATTACAGTAGAATTAATGATATTTAACAAAAATCTTTTCAGAAAATAGTTGAAATAAACCCTAAATAATAAAATAATCGTGGCAAATGATTATTTTGCACCTCAGTCCTGTTGGCTGCTGGCATTGTTCATTGGCCAGGCTTCAGCCAATGAAACAGCTTTACACCAGCCCCGCCCCTCCCCCGCCCCGCGCTGCTCACGCCTCTGCATCTGCGAGTGCACAGATGAGTTCTGCTACAGAGATCGCGGGAGATGTGTAGCAAAAGTCAGAGCGCGGGAGATTTGTAGTTGTACTTACGAATCTGAGAGGTTGTGAGTGCCGACCTGTGGTTGTAGAATGGAGATGCAATCAAATTTGCCGTGCACACGTGTGTCTGTCACTTTGTATTTGTGAATGACATTTTACAAATACACAACTATTAATCTGCAACTTCCAATTCAAAACACAAGTGTGTGGATTGTTGTGTGTGTGTGCAAATCGAGGATTTCAGCTGTTCACATCAGAGCTGTAAGTGTACATTTCAACCTACACATACAAATATTCTTATCACAAGTGCTCACATTTACATTTGCAAGCTCTCGAGTATTGCTACTGAATTACTTTCATACGGTTTCCCCTACAGTCCAAAAACATGCACTACAAATGAATTGGGTAAGCTAAATTGTCCGTAGTGTATGTGTGTATGTCCTTGTCCTCCAGGTTAGGGGTTGAGCGTTGGGCTAATGACCCAATTCGTAAAAAATTTGATGTTATGAAACACCAACATGGTGCTGCTAAATATCAACTTTTATATAAAAAGCCCTGGGAGTAAGTATGATTTATTCGGTTATGGCAAGTTGTCAAAACAAAGACAAAGACATCTCAAACTATGTCACATTTGACATGACATAACTGAGTGAATGACACTTATTGACAGTTGTCATAAGCATGCATTAACTTCATTTGTATTCATGTGTCAGGTCATGATTTTCAAGGTTTCATGACTAATAATAGTCTAATAAATATCTTCTTTTGTGTTCAACAGAAGAAAGAAACCCAGGTTTGGAACAGGTGAAAGGTCCATAAATGATGACAGAATATACATTTGCTTGTTGAACTACCCTGTTCTTCCCTGTTTGCTTAATGAATGAGCTGCAGACGCTCAATAGAGCATCTTTGTACGTTTATGATGGATAGATGACTTGTTAACACTTTTATCATCTTCTCTGTGGCGCAGATCAGACATGCAGCAGCCAATGTGCTGAGGGAATGTTGGCTTCTGCATCGCACTACCCAAACTAAATACACTAGTGGAGAACATCGACACCATCAGAGGTGCCTGCTGGAGGCCATCCGTGTGTGAGTGACCCTTCACTATTAGCATTCAGACATTACGTCACAGAATTTATGCCCTGAGAAATTCATGAGCAGAGAAAGACTGGGAGTTTTTTTAATTATTTTTTTTATAGTTGACACAAAATACTTTTGTGCAGGTAAAAAAAAATTGTTTGTTTAAAATGGATTTTATATTAACCACTTAAACTCTGCGTCTCGGGTCCGTGATGTCATCGACTTTCGCTTTCACATTTAAAGGGCTAGCGTTGCACCAGACCCCCGTAAGTGGTGTCGTTTGAAAGTGTAGTATCTATATTTTTTTGCACATATGCATCACTTTGGTTTTTATTCTACTGTATAAAAGTTATTTACACTTAAATACACAGTATTTTGCATACCAAGGTATTTTACATTGGTTCATTTTCATATTTTTTCATATGACACATGTACAAGTTATAGCTGAAATGAAAGCTCTTGCTGGTGCTCATACAGTTCTAGCATTCTTTTTACTGAATTATATTCATATGCCAAACAGTTGTTGAATGAATTGTGGTGTTTCCATGGCACAGAAATGTAAACAATACATTCATGATCAATAAGCAGCCCCAGATAGCACAGACAGCTGTCATCTCTTACCTTATGCTGTGCCCTTCAGGGCCATTCTCCTTTGTTTTTGAGGTGATGTGCATAAATAATCCTTTTATATGTCTGATGTGGTCCAAACACAGTAAATTATGTTTGACCAAACAAAAGAATAGTGAAATATGTAAACAAGGATCGGTCTCTGTGGCTTGTACAGCACCTCTCATCAGTTGGAATGCAATAACTTTTGCATAGATTATGGTAGAGACATTTTTCTTTTTTCCTATGATTACAGAAATGTGCAGGAACCAACAAAATTAATTACAGTATGCTAGACCACACAGAACCTAAAAGGTACACTTTCAAAGTTGAGTTTATAAAAAAAAAATACAAAAAGTGCCTCTTTTTTTAGTTGTTTATTATAACACAGACGACATATACAGTTATTTTAAACACTTTAATAGTGTTTTATGAAAATTCAAAGGGTTTTCTTTAATATGATACCAAATTTTTGCATTTACACCTCTGCATGTGGATTTGGGAAGCTTTTAAATTTGGGTTGGCAAAATCCAGGCGGAAATCCCCAAATAGCAGCAGAGTTTAAGTGGTTAAAACATTTGAATGAGTATAATATTTGATTTGATTATTTATAATTTATTTTACCTCATTTTAAAGATATATATTTAACTGCAATAATATGTACCTCAGAAAGAAAAAAAGACAAATGAATGACTTAAATGTACCTGGCATTCATTTGGGGAAAACAATCACAATTTTTAAAAGCTGAAAGAGCGTTAAGATCCACACATTAGCAAATGTGTGTAGAAATCCACAAATGAATCCCAGGGAAAGTTGTGCTTGTAACCTGAAGATATATACTTTTTATTTGCCAATAACGTTGCATTTATTTGATTTATTTAATTAATCTTTGTTAGATTTCACTAGGTGTTTGTGGATCCTATTGTATTCTGTTGTGTGTGTATAGGTTTATGCAGTTTATGAGGATACAGAATTTTTAAAATCAGGGACAGGCAGTATTTATGAGACAAAAATGTTAAACACGTATTTTAAATACAAAATAGTATTTTGTCATTTGAATTTAAAGGGGTTTATGAAAATTGGTTAATATTTTGTATCAAAATACTTCAGTGTCTTATATTTTTGTATTTTTAAAATACTGTAAAATACCTTGTAAGAATTCTACATTCTACGCAGCACTCATAAAGAAAACAACAGATACATGGCATGGGTATATCTGAGAGCATGTCAACAATCATTGAAAATAGTATACTGCACAATGCTAAGACCAGTAATATGTAATGGCAGTATAGTTTTACTATTTGGCATTACATAGCTTAAGAAATTAGATGGAATAAAAAATCAGTCCTTAAGAACAGGATGAGGAGCTTCAGAACATAATCATTCTCAGTCTCAGTGCTGCAGATGAAAATGCAGAGGAACTTATCTCTAGAGTAGAATATAAAACAGCTAAATATTGTGTACTGGTGTTTACTTAAGAGGGGGAAACTGAGACTCTTCCAGTTAAAAAGAACTGAAAAAATCTTGGGAGAACGAGTAAACTGCATAAATAATAGTAGCTTTGGATGGATTGCTGATGTAGATTACAATAAATTAAGGCAAACAACATCAAGATAAGTCCTACAAGGGCAAGTCCTACAATACTCTCCTGGCTCTTTCAAATGCCAGTAGCTGATCTGAAGGTGCTCTTTATAGTAATGAAGAGATGGAACGATGTCTGTCTAAAGATGTCAAAGTGGCACAATACAGTATATGTGACACACATTTAATAATACTCTTCTCTATGCAGACTTGTCAAAAACTCCAGACTCCCAATACATGTTACAGTATATGAAGAGCTTATTTGCAAAAACAGATAACTCAATTTTTTTACAGATATCAGATATCATGTTTTGCATTAAAGAGTACAATCGAAAAAAAAAATGATTTATGGAAATTACGAAGAGATTTTAAGATGGAGAATTACTAACTGGAGATTTTAGTAGCTTTCAGAAATCATGCTTTTACATCAGGTATTAAAAAAAGATATATTTTTTAATATTGTGAGCAATAAAATTAAAATAATTTTTTAATATATCACCCTTTTAAGTATAAGACTGTTAAGAGATGGTGGCAGTTTTACTGACCACACTGGAAACACAGTGAAGAGATATAATACTATATTTCAACTCATTATCTGCATAAGATGGTTTTTAAAGTGATTAAAGGGATCATCTTTAAGACATGACTTTCTGTAGGAAATTTGTCCAAAATGTATACTAAAATAAAAGAAAAAATAAAAGTTTATGAATACATCCTCATGTACAGTGATAGATTGGCAAAGAAGCTGACTTAAATTTGCTCAAAGAAAAGTTGTTGTTATGAATTATTGTATACTTCACTTTAGTCAGTCTAATGGAGAAGGGATTGAATGAACACGTCTATTGATGGAAAGTTTGCTTCAAGCCTCAAGTTTCAAGCCTCGGGCTTCAGCGTCAACGCTTGACAGAGGGCGTGGCTGAAGTTGGGGCTGACGCGATCGTCATAGCAGCGTCAGCCAATGAAATTACTCAGAAACCGGCTACTCTCTAAGCTGGTGCATACAGCAATCTGCTTGGCTGATGCTTCCGTTAGTGCTTCAAACTTCTGCAGTGAGCAATGCCACTGAATAGGCGCCTATGAATCCAAAATGCAGTTCGGCAACGGTTCGTCACCCATTCAAAGTGATCGGAAATCGTTGATGCTGACGCCCCATGTAAATAGGGCATTAGAGCCGCACAATCTATCGTTTCAGCATTAATATTGCAATGTGATCAGTCGCAATTGCCATATCGCGAGTATACGCAATGTTGAGTTTGGATTATAATTTTTCATTTCGCAAGTGCCTTTTGAGGCCTGTGAGGGTTTTGAAAGCAAATTGTACCATTTGTAACTTTGACAAATGAATTACGATAAATTCTATTGAATTGTTTATAAAACGCGAATAAGACTATGCAGTTTAAA